GTTGTTGTTGTTGTTGTTGTTGTTGTTGTTGTTGTTGTTGTTGTTGTTGTTGTTGTTGTTGTTGTTGTTGTTGTTGTTGTTGTTGTTGTTGTCATTGTTGTTGTTGTTGTTACTGCTGCTGCTGTAGCAGTTAGATTTGTGTTATTTAAAATTCTTCCTTGAAAGTGATAAAAGCAAGGGATCTGCTTTGTGCTTCATATATTCCCACAACCACTTAGCTTTTACTACTTTTACAGTTTCCAAAACAAATTATCCAACTGGTCGTGTCGTAAGTTATTTATTTTTTTTTCAGTTAAACAGCAATGTTAGATTTTTCGACCTTAAATTTCGGGATTTTCATTTCACATTTCAGTTTGAAAAATGATTCAAATACTGTCAGTTCATTGATTTGAGTGTACATTACCGGAGCTTGGTTTAATGAGGATAACATGATACAAAAGAACGGAATTTCCCGAGACATCGATCATTAACAACTGTTGACAATCTTTGTCTAGGAAAGAGTTTGATGATTTGAAACTAACTTCGTCATCATATGTTTTGTTATTTACCCGTACTCATTAACTGTTCTTTGCTTTATGCTATTAATTAGTTCATAGATTAACGATAAAACTAATAATTTAATGGGACTTTGAGCACTTAAAAATAATTTAAAGAAAACTTGAATTTACTTTTGTCAAATTCATTGCAATACATCCCTTTAAATCATATTTTTAAAATTTTTGTGATCTATTATTACAGCTCTATGCATTGGTCTACAAACTTCAAAAATGAGAGTATTCTGGAGGGTTAAAGTTTAAAAAATAGGAAAATATTTAGGCAATATCCAATTGGCTTTCATAGCGTTCAAACAGTTCTAAATTTCAAGGAAATAAAGTAAAAAATTGGAAGAATGAGGAAGTTATAATAACATAAAGGTATTCAACATTATTAAATCATTAAAGAATGAACAATGGTTCTCTTTCTATGTCCCAAAACTTAAACTTTATTCCCACTAGTTTAGACCATTTTCGAGGTACTCATAATTGTTGACAAATCTAATTTGAATTGAGAACGATTTTAAATTTTTGGTTAAATTTTAGTTTGAACTTATCAAGCATTGCATTTGCTGAGCTTTGGATACTAAGACTGAGATAGCATTGAATTTTAATGACATTAAGTAATGGAATCGGTTTCGTTGGGTTCATTTTAATATATTTGTTGCGATCCAAATTTTAAGTTTAACTATTCCTGTAAATCATCAAAATGCTGTAAACACTTTTTTCTACAGTCTACTTCAAGTGGTGTTAAAATTTGTCATTTTTATTTTTCAAATAAGGTTTTTCAAAGATAAAATTCTCATTTATCCAATAAGTGACAATTGTTGCAATCAATTCCAAACTCAAATTGATCCCAATTTTTTATCAATTAAATACGATGAATTTGATTAACTTTAAATGTTGGCTGCAGAAATTTATCAATGAAGTAAAAATTATAAGAAGTGATTAAAGAGTGGATGATATGGAAAATGGTTTTTATTTGAAATAGAAGTGAAGAAGATCTCAGCTATTGAAGTTTTTTGGAATAAGTGTTGATGAGACGAAGGGAAAGAATAGAAGCGTAAGTGACAATCAAATTAGCCAAGATTGCTTTGGGAAAAGAATATATAATTATGTGTCATTTCATATTGACTTATCAGATAAATATGTGCCATTATTAGCTATTATTCTTATCTTAAACTATAAAAATAAAATTTATTTATTTGTATTTTCAATTAACAAAATTTTGATCATTTAACTATCTCCAACCATTTCTACAATTCACTATTATTATTATTATTATTATTATTATTATTATTATTATTATTATTATTATTATTATTATTATTATTATTATTATTATTATTATTATTATTATTATTATTATTATTATTATTATTATTATTATTATTATTATTATTATTATTATTATTATTATTATTATTATTATTATTATTATTATTATTATTATTATTATTATTATTATTATTATTATTATTATTATTATTATTATTATTATTATTATTATT